CCAGAACAGATCCTGATAAGAGAGTAGCATAGGCTTTACTTACTGTTGGCATTCCTTAAAGTCAGCCTTCTTCACTCTGGCCATTATAATTTCATTGCTCTGCAGCCCAGTGGCTGGGAATTATGAGAACAAGCAGTCCCAAACCTCTAGGAACCTCTGTCTCAAGACATCCAGTATTCTATGGTAGTCATGTCCTGGCTTATGCACACCATTCTCAAGAGCAGAAATGGTATTGTGGCTTGTTTTCAGAAAGGATTAATAGAAAATACAGTATATTTGATGCAACATCAGCCCACTGAGCGCAGAGAAATTCAGGAGGACTAGAAAGTTAAGCTGGCTTCTTCCATGCTAAAATACCATATTATAAACACATATTGTTATTATTGTATTATGCATGCGTGAGTATTTCAAGGAAAGGTAGGGCAGCAAAATATCTAACACTCTTTGGTCCTATTTTTTCTTCTTCCCACAATAACATTTAACTGGCTTCAAGCCTATGGCAGGACTAGAACTCAGTCTCCTAGTTTCTTAACCACTACACCAAACTGCCTCTCAGTTTCTCAAATGAAACATTATAGTCACCAAGAGACAAGGCTGATTCAAAGCCACAAAAAAAAAAAAAGAGTTGAGTGATAATTAGGTTTATTATCTACATTAAAGGTGTGAAATCTAGATGATACAACTGAACCTTGTGAACTCAGGCCTATTGCTGTCCTTCTGCAACAGCTGACAGAGAAGGAAACTAAGCTGGCATCCACATCCTTGTTATGGATAATGATTAATGCATTTGCTCAATTATTTAGATAATAAAGGTCACGGGCTTCATTACAGAACTAATTATGTTGTAGCGCCTGAATGAATCTTGCTTACCATTGCTTGATTATATTTTTCTATATATTAAATTTCATTATATTTATTAATCATAAGCTTCGGTTATCAAATCAACATCTGCAGGAGGGGGCAGCAAAATGATGAAAACAGCATTGTAGCACAAGCCCGGCTTTTTCTATATGTGCAATAGTGGCGAATACCTGCTTTTTCTACACGTGTCATAAGCTGGCATGGTCCCTAAACAGGGAGGAGCTGGCAGCAAAACACTGCTTTTGTCATCCATCGTTAGCATTTGGCAAGCCACAAACAAGCCAGCATGCTGCAGCAGTAACACTGGCTTACGGCATAAATTGTTATCAGGAATCAACATGTATAGAGGCTGTTTTATTTGTTGAGAACTAGATTTTTCACCCATCTTTATTACGGAAGTACTTTATAAATAACTCAAGGTTGCAAACAGTCCTAATGCTCCTTCTTCCTTCTATTTCTCCTACAATGACTTTGTGAGATGAATTGGTGTAGGAGAGAACGAGTGGCCCAAAGTCACCCAGCCAGTTCTTTATGCCTAAAGTGGGACTAGAACTCACAGTCTCCTATAATTATTTATAGCTAATATGATAATATTATATCTATTTGTGCTTTTGAAGTCCTTATTAAAGTATTCTCTAAATCTAATGGAAATTGCAAAATTCTGCAGGAACACTGAACTGTCAACAACACTAACTGACCATTCGCTATATTTAAAGGGATTTTCTGGATAATTAAAAGGTTTAAATGTCAGAACATCATAATTTTTTGAAATTTGAACCTGTCAAGCTTCCATGGATACCACTAGGGGGCATGTTGAGAGTACAAATAGATTGATTCCCCAAGGCAACAGGGTCCCTTTAAAGGAGGTTAAATAATAACATTAATGGAGGGCTTTAATTTTCCATCTGTTTCATGAAAAATGTGGATTTATAGATTATGAACGTACTGATTTTACTACATCAACACCAGCACATTAAGTGTAGCCAAAACTAGGAACACAAAATCTTTCAGCTCTCATTTCAGTTTTTTAATCCCTGCGGAGAAAGATTCACTCCATCTAAGGCTTCTCCATTAAATCAGTAACAACGGTATTAAACACAAAATACTATAATCTAAAAACTTTATTCTATTGTTCTACTATGGTTTAGCGGTTGAACTTTCCCAAATCCCATACTTTGTATCCTTTTACCTGGATGATGGAAATGATATCCTTCCGTAGTAATACTCCCAGGGATTCTAACCTGAGAGCTTCTAATGTAGTGCTTCTTCTACCATTTTGCTATGTCAAAAAAATATTCCATCTGATTTATGCCTCTTTGATCGATCTGCTCAAGTTTATTCCAAAGAAGAATAGGAGATAAATATATATAAAACAGGTTCAGTACAAAAGTTACCCATTAACTTTTCAGTATTATTCTGTGGTCTTATCTTTCATACAATGAGACCCCCAACTGTGGAAATAAAGTCTGCATTACTGTCTTTGGTTTATCAGTTCAGAGTCACTGGTAAGGGTATAGATTTAGAAATTGACATAAAAGCCAGCTGGGTGATTTGGGCTAGTTATCCTCTCTCAGCTCAATGCACCTCATAGGTTGTTGTTGTGTGGAAAATAGGAGAAGTGTGTTAGGTATGTTTACCACTTTGAGTAAATTATAAAAAATAATAAAAGTGGGATAAAAATAAATCAACAAATCAGATGTGACAAGCCAAAGCCAGAAAATTTTTCATGTATCAACAACATCAAACATTTTAGAATAAACTTGCAGAGTTATAGGTAACTGCTCTAAATAACCAAGGTAGGGTGATATCTAAAATGTGGCACAGCAGAGATTCAGTGAAGTAGCCACAAACAGATGGAAGAAAATGGCTTATATAATTCTTTTGCAATATACTTTATTGCATCAAGTGATGGAGCTGTTAAATTCAGTAGAGAAGTTTATGAAATCTATAGTTGTATTATAATCACGGAAAGAAAGAAAGAAGGAAGGAAAGGAAGGAAGGAAGGAAGGAAGGAAGGAAGGAAGGAAGGAAGGAAGGAA